ACTCACTATATGTTATAAACAGCGAATACAAACAAATGCACTTTCGAAATTTAATGATATAGGGACATTGACTAGACTAACCTTCTGGCATGCACTGACATTCGGCATAAAGTCCACGCCATCATTCATCAACTTGTTACGAATTTGTCTGGTCTTCATGTTAGCGCGTACCATTTTCTGCACCATGTTTTAGTTGAGATGAATTGACATGGTACAATATAAATAACTAGGTTATGACAAATAATTTGACATTACGGCTCTTACCGAAAACATATTTGGCAAATACCACACATTTGGCTCTTTCACATCATGTTTTTCAGACATTGTTAGTGCCCTTGCACACAAATCCACTACCTACCATCCAACAATAAAACACAAAATCATCGTAAATTGTAACATAAATAGTGCACAATTCATACGAAAGTCGTAGTAGTATAGTACTTACTGATGAGCAAACCCAGCTTTTCTCGCTAATGACCGAACTCAAATAATGTCGTTGCAGGTTTTCAGAAAAAAAGTCCACAATCATCAAACTGCAAAAATCAAGATAACAGAAATGTCAATTGTTTTTTTGCAACGTACAGGTCGACCTGTACACAGTCAAGGTCGACCTTATTGGACACACGGTCGACCTTATTGGACAACCGGTCGACCACACGTACTAGAAAAACGTCTTACTTGTCCCAATTCTTGTCCCCAACCTTCTCTTTAGTAACAACATAATACAAGTCTTCAACTGGATTTTGAATATTTTTGGTGAATCCTTCTAGACCCTCCACTTTCATGACCTAAAAATCATAGTTAAAATTAAAGTAACATATGAACACAAACACACATTATAGATGAAAATGTAACGTAAACTTACCCCGTGCTTTTCGAAAGGACTCTTAGATTCATCTTCATCGCTATCATCACTAAATAATCCCTTTCTTACAAATTGATCCTTCTGTGGAGTGGTGTAGGAGTCACTTTCATATCGCGGTCTCTTGTAATTAGGAGAGGAACCCTTGCGGCCATTCTTTGTTTCACTCTGTCAAACATATAAACAAAACAGATTAGCACTAATGATAGTAATACTAATATCTTCAATCACATATGAATATACTTGGATACCTTTAAAATGTGCTCTTTCAATAAATCGTCTATGCTCTGGTAGCAATTTTCAGAGTCATCATGGTTTTCCTCCTCTTTACCAAAGTCAAATTTCTTTCCTTTACCATTTCTTCCGCCATTCTCCATTCGTTCTGCACTTATATCTTTGATAGCACCTTCTAGCCTCTCAAACCCGTCATGCATCATCCCAGTCATATCTGTCAGTCGAACTGACAAATGCTCGACTTGTGTTTGACACACCACCAGCTTCTCTTGTGTGGCTTTCAACAATTTCATGATTTCACCCAAATCTTGATGCAGTTTCTCATCATGCGTCATCGTCTAAACAATTTCAAGAAAAATTAAAATCATAATTCAAGTACAAATTTCTATAATTGACCAAAAAACAAAGACGTGGTCGACCTGACAGAGTATTATGACGACCTGTAAGACAAATAGTGACTACCACAACTCGTCAGGTCGACCTCGGTTATTCCTAGGTCGACCTATCCAACAGGAAAATAACAATTACAAACAAATAGTAAGTTCAAAATTAAACCGAAAAAAGGACAGGTCGACCAGATATCTGGCGCGGTCGACCTTTTCAAGCACAACATAGTCATACAAACAAAGCCAAAGTCGACATTCAGGTTGAATAACCAGAAAAACATATACGGTCGACCTCGAAACTCATTAGGTCGACCGATTTGGTTACCTCGCAAGTACAGAACAAGTGTTGTGGCCTAAATTCAAATACGAAGAATTGTCTCGTCAGGTCGACCTGTTTGACGTCGCGGTCGACCGAATTGGTTTCTGCACCCAACAATATATCAAGTTAGCCGGTGGAAATCACGCATTAAAAAGAAGACGGCGAATGCTACATTAGGTCGACCTCACCTTAGACCTGGTCGACCACTTCCAACACGTACAACAGCAACCGCGAACGATCTTCTTCACAAAGGCTCTAAGTCGGAAAAAACCTAATTCAGACTTGGTGGCGTTGAAGGGGACTCATATTCGTATTTATAGAGATTTAGGACGTGAATGGGTCGACCCAATTCGTTTCCTTGTCCAATTGTGGAACCTTTCTGGTGTTGGAATCCATATCCAATACGGATACGGTCTGAAGGCGGTCGACCTCTTCACAATGCGGTCGACCTGTTAGGTGCACAAGGGTCGGCCTATGCGATATTTGGGTCGACCTTTCATTCTGTTAGACCACCAAAACGGTCGACCGCATTTTGTAAGAGGTCGACCGCCTTCAGGAACCCAACATACATGAATTAGCCCATTCGGTCGACCGCAAGTTGTATTCGGTCGACCGAAAAGTCCATGTCACGGTGACATGCATGTCACCGTAGCAAAATTCTAACATTTAACATCAACACCCAAATTTTTATATTTTAAGGAAACAAATAATATTAAATTTTACATTTTAAATTCATGAAATAGATCTTAATTTTGTATGAATCAATTGCACTAAAACGACATAATTATGTTTATAGGTTCATGCCGGTGGTATTGGTGACATTGAGCTGAAAATTCAAGTGGAGGTTTTCGTGATACAAAGAAAAGGAGAGATAAGAGATTCTGAATTCTGATGGTGGAGAAAGTTAGGTAGCAAGTTCGTGGAGCGAGAGCAGGAGCGTGAAAGCGTTTATTTCTGAAAGATTTAATAATGAAAGCATGATCAGAGCATCAAATTATTATATTATTTTTAATTTAAGTAATTATACTAACTAAAATAAATAATTATATATTAAATAATGTAGGTGTAAGTGCATAATAAAGCCATATCGTTTTGTGAAAGCGTGAGTTTATGAGACATATGTCTTTGTTTTTCTTACTTTAATTAATAAACTAGCGTGGGCCCCGACCATTTGGCCAGAGGAAGGTGAGGTATGAAATTTGATAATGTAATGGGGTGTATAGCTTATTGTTGTATAGTTTTTTTTTTTGGGAAACGCGTGATAAAAATAGTGAATTTTAGTAGAAAAGAGACATGAATGATGCAACGAATCAAAAATCAGCCTTATGAACCAAAATCAAGTACCTGTTACCTTGTGAAACAATATTGTTTCTGGTAATATGATGAGGTGGAGTAAGTTTTATAGAAACCGAATTCCAGAAAATCGAATAAAAAATCGCCTATCCCGCCGGTTTCGGGAAATGAGCATCTCACAATCGTTGCTAGCTTTTACTCGGCCCGTTGGCCGATTAATTTGCTTTATAAAACTTTCATCTTCTCATCATTGTGCTTTCTGGTTTTTTGCCAAGCCATGATAAAATCTAAAGAAATCAAGAATGAACAGCACGATTTGGGATAGGAACCAACTTTCCTGTATCCCTAGAAAATGGTGGTAAACACGGACTCACCTGCCAAACTGGTTTGGATTGAGATTTTTATAGGGTATCAGGGAACCATGTGATTATAAATTAGACTTGATCAAAACGGGCAAAATTTTGAAATTCAGCCTGTTTGACCGACTCATGCCAAACTCTAATTATTCTTTACTTTTAAACTTTATATTTGAAAATAAAAAATAATGAAAGAAAAGAGATGACTGCAATTCACCATTTGCACATCACTGATTCGAAAATAAAACTATAGAATTTCGAAAGGAAATTGAAAATGTTTAGGATCGTTTTAATGTTAAAAATAACCAAATAGATCTTTCTGTTTAGTTTTTAACTAACAAATACCAAACCATTCCCTATAATATACACTATAATTTAATCATTATGATATCAGATAATTACATAATATATATTTGAAATGATAAAAATTGGACTAATTGAGTTGGTCGAGGTTGTACCATTGAATAACTTTAAAATACATTATATTTTAGCCACTAAGATATAAAATAATAGCATAATATATATTATGCTAGAGAAAATAGTTTGTTTTAGAATGGCAAACCCATGATGTTCATTTGTTTTACTTGATGGGCAAATCCCGTGTAGGTCAGACCCATTCAACTCTTTTATTTTATGATTAGCGGTTAGCCCATTAGAATCCATGCATTAGTTTATTGTTATTTTTTTTCCTTTTTAGCAATAAAAAGGAGTATTGTTTTTTCCTTTTCATATATATATTTTACCACTACGGAGAAATAAAAGGACTTAAAGAAAAAAATTGACACTCCTAGACCCGTTTAAATCCGCATGTGTACGGTAAGTTGGCCCGATCCACAGAGGAAAAAGAAAAAAATTGACACTCCCTACTCTACTCTTCCTACAAACGCTCATGGAGCAGGGAATTTGAAATGGGAGAAGAGTTTTTTCCTCTCTGCAATTATATGTTTTTAATTTAAAAAGATACAACAAATGTACTTAGTGTGATTGGTTATGATCTTTGTTTTTCTTTAAAATGGTCATGGTTCGAATCCTAGTAAGTATCTTTTTAATAAATAAATAAATAAAAGTAATTGTGAAGACCAAAATGTCCTTCCTACTTTCACTCTGGATGCAGGAAATTTGAAATGGGGCTTCAAGTTTTCTCATTTGGTTTTTATTTATTGCGTAGAATTATCTAAAAACTTAAAATCATATTTTAAAGAAAGAGCCCATTTAAAAAGTTAAATTATTCCAAGGGTCCCCTCATTCTTCCCCCACCGCCTCCTCTGGCCCTCTCCACTTTCGCAGTCAATTCCACCGCCAATTAGAGATTTCCTCCGCCGCGTCGATGAGCTTATTCCCAGCGACAATCATCTCCACCAGCGTAACAGATCTGGAAATAGATGTTCTGCCTGCCCTCCCTACTCTTCCCCAATCGATTCTCGCACGCATCTGTTGTCTGATCCTTCAGATCTGTTGCTCTGGCCTTTGCATGTCGTCGTTTACCAACTCTCCTTCAGCTTCTTGCCTTCTTCACAGTCGCTCACCTCCAAGCAATTTTCCCTTGCCCCTGATTTTGGTTGCTTATTTCCCTCTTCCTCCTCATCGGCAAACCCCCCAGTTTCTCCATATAGCTTCCAATCTTCCAAACGTAGATAAGCCCCACTGATTTTCCCGAAAGTCAGCTTGTATTGGAACTCCATTGGAACTCCTGACTTGGATTGCGATGTAGGTAATAGCCAACGAAATATTCTTCCCTGCAAAGTGCAAAGTTCGAAACCTCCCCAGTCAACATATTCCCTTTCATTTCGCGTTCATCCATCAAACCAGTTAGAGATTTCACCTCCTTCACCAAACCGGAGGACACCATCTCCGATTCCTCTTCCATCTCCGTCTGTGAAATAAAAACGCAAATTATCCACCAAAATTCGCGCTCCAACGAAAAATAATTCGCGGATTTTTTGCGATTCCTTCCCAATTCGCGTTTCTGCGCTCCCGCTCCCCTTCCCTACGAATTGTGTGACCTAAGGAGAAAGACTGGTTTAGGTGAAGCTTATCTGTTTTTTTTTTTCTGGTTAAATAGTTCATTTTACTTTTAGTTGTATACTGAACTATGAATGATGTAGCGGGCCTGAAGAGAAAAGAAAAGGGCCAATTTTTTTCCTGGTCCGGCGGCACTCTAAAATCTTTTTTTTTTTACAAAAAGATAATCATATATTGATCAGAGAAAATACAATTACATCCTGGAATTAAGTCAGGCCAAGAGATAAAAAAAACGACTTGTCGTTGGGTACAAAAAAAGGGCCTTTCGAGCCACCAAATGGGTTACCATATTACTACTCCGACCTACAAACCGCACACTATACCCCCTATGGCAAGATAAGCAATGCAACACTTCTTCCAGAAGGGCTCCAATCCGACTATCTCTGATATCCGCGAGGTTGAGCTTGTCAATAATCACTTTGGCATCACCCTCAAACTGAACCTCTGTAAACCCCAACTGAGTACACCAAAGGATCGCCTCACGAATAGCAAGAATCTCAGCGATCAAAGGGTCATTAACCCCGATAAATTGAAACCCTCTAGCTCGCAGAACCTCCCCTGTAGGGTTCAGGACCACCACTCCTCCTGCAGCGTGAGAAGAACGTTTAATAGCCCCATCCCACTTGCAGATAACCGAAGAAGGGGTAGTACCCCCAACAGGTGGAGCCAAAGGGGGAGTAATCCGCTGGGTATTATCCAAAGGCAACCTTATACATTCCTGGTACTGCTGATTAAATTGTCTCATGATAGCTGGGATCCTTAATTGCTTGCCTTCAAAGACAACCCAATTACGAGAACGCCAGATTCTCCACAAGACAGCGGTAACCGCCATAAACGCTGGTGAATGCATAACATCAGTTTCTTCAAGAAAAAAGAAAAAGTATGCCTCGGGAGCCCTTGTCCGAGATACTCGAACCCCGCATAGTCCCACAAGGCCCTAGCAACTGGGCATTCAAGGAAAAGGTGTTCCATTGTTTCCGACTCAGCCCAACAAACAAGACAACGAGGATGTATTGGAATATCCTGCTCAATTAAAGCTTCAGTCATGGGCAGAAGACGGTTGCAGATTTGCCATAAAAAAATTCGCAACTTAGGGGGGACCAGAGCCTCCTAGAGACAGATCCAACTGGGTCTATCCATCCATCTCACACTCGAACGCCACCTACCATCTTCCTTTTTATCGAGGACTATAGCCAGGTGGTAGGCTGATTTCACCGTAAAAATCCCATCAACAGTTTCATGCCAAACAAGTCGATCCTCGATATCATGGAGAGGGAGAGGGATTTCCTTAATGGCATGGAAAGTACGAGGGTCAAACCACTGGCTAATCTTCGAATCAGACCAACGTCCTTCCCCCAAGCAAATGACCTCAGCAACCACAGGCTTAGCCCCCACGGACAATATCTGAATTCTGAGGATTCAAAATAGGAGGATCGGGGTGGAGGCGCGACACCCAGTTGGTATGGAGCAGCGGGGTAGACTGGCTATTCCCAATTTTCCATCGAAGCCCTTTGACTAACAGCTGCCTACCAATAGAATGCTTTGCCAACCCCAGGAAGGACGAGAACGAGCAGTAGCCTCAAGGAAACACCCACCTGGGAAGTACTTACCCTTGTAAACTTGGGAGACAAGGGAATTTGGGTCATTCAGGATTCGCCGGCCGATTTTAGCTAGGAGCGCCTGATTAAAATGTTCGAACGGGCGAAACCCCATCCCACCATCATGTTTACTCCTACACATGTTGCGCCAGGACATCCAACGGATTTTTGATTTACCATTTTCAACCCCCCACCGAATCTTGCAACATGCTTATCCAACAGACGGCAAAGCGAGAGGGGAAGCCTAAAACAGGGACATAACATGGAAAGGCAGTGCCAAAGCGGCCGACTTGATCAACGTCTCTTTCGCCGCCCAAGATAAAGTCTTCTGCTACCATCCCTGAAGACGAGCAAGCAACTTTTCCTCCAAGTAACGAAATGTATCCATTTTAGACCGGGAGAACAGGGTAGGCAGCCCCAAATATTTATCCTGAACCCCCGCAGCTCCCACCCCCAGGATTTGAGCAAGGAATTCCTAGTCCTGCACAACTATATTTCTACTGAAGCAGACTGCTGATTTAGCCAAATTTACCCTTTGGCCGTTGAGTTCCTCTTACTCGTTTAACACAGTGATTAGATTTTCACACTCCTGCAGAGATCCTCGAAGGAATAAGTACGAATCATCTGCGAAAAACAAGTGTGATATGCGGGGGGATCGTGGAGCAACCTTAACACCTTCCAACTTCCTTTCCAAAATAGCTTACCGGAGGAGGGCCGCAAACCCCTCTGTGCAAAGCACAAACAAGAGACGCTACAACGGATCCCCCTGCTGGAGTCCTCTAGAGGAAGTGAAGTACCCTTTAGGAGTTCCATTCATCAAGACCGGGAACGAGGCGGATCGAAGATATTCATGTATCCACCCCCGCCAGGTCGAATTAAACCCCATCTTGTCCAAAAACTGCAAGGAGAAACGGCCATTCGACTCTATCATAGGCCTTTTCTGTTGGTGCGTCGAGCGCGAGACGAATCCTTGTTATCCCGATTCAATTCCTGTGACTTTAAGCAACCCAGCAACCTGCAAATACCTATACCAACCCTTTACCAAGAACACGTGAGTAGTTTAGATGAAAGAAGAGGTTTTGATCGAAAAGAGGTTAGGTTTGTTTACTGCCTCCTGTTTATCAAAGTGGAATAGACGATGGGCTAGAAATGAACATAAGCCCAAAAATCACTAGCACACACGTTTGCGAACAGCCCACCTAGATTAGTTAAAGGGTAAATAAATTAAACATGGATGCAGCCCAAAAATCCCTCGGCTGTAATACAAACAGATTGAAACACAACGTCTCAATAACCTGCACCCGGTCCTTCCTCTTCTTCGTTGGTCGATCAGTTTCCCCTGCAAAAAGGAACGAGAAGAACAGAGCACTGCAAGAACACAGTACACGAAATAAATACAAACAGAAAGGAAATCAAGACAAGATTCAGGACATACGATTTTTATGTGGTATCCAGTGTTGAGAGAAAGAGGATCTCAACACTAACTAATCCACGGTCAGTGATTCACTTATTCGTGATCACTGACGTTGCACTAAGGATATGATCTTGTAGCTCTTCAAATACAAATGAACACGCCGATTAGCTCTTCAGCCTATCGATCATATCCAAACCCCTTGATCAACTCCCCGTCGATCAAGAACCCGGTATTTCCCCAATAGCGTGACCCAAGCTCTCTCCCCGATAGCTCGAACTCTTTTCCTATCAAACTACCCACAGCAGTACCCTTTGATTTCTACGCAGTTTGATCTCCCGGAAAAGTTTCCCCTGCTGGTTGTTCCTGCCCGCCTTTTATAGAGTACGAATATGAACGTTGCTCATTCAAATTCCTTCTCTATTTGCGTTGATTTATTAGGTGGCTGAATTGTTGATTTTGATTTGCAATGAGTTGTACGTTGGAGCTCTCTGCAGCTTTCTTGTACTGTTGTACATGATCTTCTTTGTGGGATTTGCTTGTCTGATTCATAGCTGTCCAGAACTTCTTTCCTTCTTTGCTATTGATCTTCTTTTCCTTTTTAAGCGTCAATCGACTTTTGGTAGAGTAATGCTGAACCAGCCACTTGCTATTGCATTCACTATCGTTGCCTTTTCAGTTTCTTTCCTTCTACAGTGGATTGAGAATCTTTCACAATCAACTCATTTGATATGTCTTGTAACTTGAGCAGAAAGGTTGTGAGTATCGTAGTTTTGACACAGCTTTGTCACGATAACTTCCTTTTCCATTATGATTATGTATAGCCTACATAAGAGGTATGTTTCTCTTTCTGCAATCTCAATCAAACCATTAGCTTTTCACATAGTGCACAATACATAAACTATTTGCTTATGAGAAGCTTCTTATCCCAACAATCTCCCCCTAAGCTTTTCTTTAGCAATAGTAATATCTTATAGTTTCAATTGCTAAACAGTCTCCATAAACTTGACAAAGACTGAGATTATACTTAACTACTCCAAGTTTGGGAAGACACGCAATTTAATGAGAGCTTGGATTCACTAACCCATTAGATAGCATACTCAATACTAGAGCACCATCAGTTCAAAATGGGAATATCCAAAATTGACTCCTCAATAACCACTAATCTTGAGCTCCCCCCCTCAACTAGATGTTCCCTTAGAAGGGTCAGTTCACATTATCAGAGACTTCTCCATCATAAAGGCTTGCTCCACCTCTGGTCTAACTTGCTTATCTTCTTTGATGAAAACTACTCCTATACTGAGTGAATATGAACCTATCAGCTTTTATTTCTCCTCCTTAATTTTGATCAAAGAAATCAGCCTAGCTAACAGAATGCGACACATATGGTTCATGCAGTTAAGGTTATGTTCCAATAACCTGGGACTCGCCATGTTATTAATAACATGTTATCAATTCAGTACATACATCTTCCCTAATGCGAAACTCATATGAAATCTTCACTTAAAGTTTGAGACTTCACTTTATCAAGGAGACTCCCCCTTAATCCAATACCCCCATTTAGAAGAGGTCACGCTTCAACCAAGTGTGCCATTGAATAGAAACATAATAGATCCTGGTAACTATCATGAAGGCATACATATGTAACTATATGACCAATGAACATGCACACTCAATAAGAGACTCTTAATATAGAACCAGTCAGTGTTGAGTTTCTTTTTGTGAACTGTCGTTCAGAACAGAAGAAAAACTTACCGCGATCAACATCCAACTTTGCAAGGCTTTGTCCAAGGCACAACCAAAATCCAGATATGGGCAGGATCAGATATATAATTCAACCAGCACTAAGAACTGCCCATTTGTTCATATTAGCTTCCTTAGTTGACATCCATCTAATATCGTAGAGCTAAAGTCTGATTCCGAGAGTCATCCTAACTACTTAGATCAGCTGGAGTATCTCATCTCATGATCCAGTAAG